CATGTCTATCTTGGGTGCTTTACTCCCCACTTACCTTCTATCCTTGGGTGTTTTATCCCCCATGTACCTTTATCCCGGGTGTTTTATTCCCCGTTTACCAGATATTCCTCGGTTTACCTGGCATCATGGGTGTTTTATCCCCATTTGCGTTTTTCTCCTGAGCTCGTGTTTTACTCGCGTCTTACCTTGCGGACAATTTCTAATTTACTTGGCACCTATCAACAATTCTGTGTCGTGTCTACTCGACGTTCTTCCAGATATGACATGTCTTCTTCCCTAGTGCAATTCCTCGATGGGTCGTCCCCTGTGACGTTGTTTCGTCTGTATCCGTGCATTTGTCATTTTCATCATACGCATCATATCAGATTCATATCATATTTAGCATTATAGTTCGTTTTGTTTTGTCCATATCATTGCATAGCACTGCGTCTAAAGGCAAAATTTTTGGTTATCTGTATTTAAATCCCTCCACCATGATTTCTCGAGTCTCCGTTGCTCAAATCACCCGGTGAAGTTATTTAAATAGGGGCAACTGTAATACCCCAAATTTTGCCCTAAGATTTGTCGTCGCATTTCATTGCATTTTTATTGCATTTAATCAATTACTAACAAATTTGTGTAGTCGTTTGACTTTTTGCAGGTAAATATCATATTGCATGCATTTTTTTTCTAAAAAGTAAAAATGGCACAATTGGCAAGAGGACATGTGTAAGGAGTTGTGAGTGTGAGAGGTTGAGAGTTTGAATCTCACCTTTGTCACTTTTTGTTTTTTATTATTTTTACTCTAAATTTTTCTATCTTTCATTAATAAAATAACAAAAATAGTTTTTTATTATTATTTAATTATTATTTTCGTATTTATAATATTTTTGATTTTAGGAATCAATAGGATTATTAGTTTTTATTTTAAGTTTATTTTAATTATTTTAATTTTATTTTTTAACTAATTATTTAGTTTGGACTTTAAAATGGACTTTAGGGACATTATTGACAATTTGGTGTTAACCCTACTTTGTTCCTTATATATACATGTGTTGCCTTGTTGAAAAGAGGGGAGAATGAAAAAAACCTAAGAGGAGTGAGTGCCGTTTACCGTTATTTCTTTTTCTTCATCTATTACTGTTGTTTCTTTTTCTTCATCGTTTACCGTTATTTCTTTTCCTTCATCTATTACTGTTGTTTCTTTTTCTTCATCTTTTACCGTTATTTCTTTTTCTTCATCTATTACCATTATTTCTTTTTCTTTATCTATTACTGTTACGTTTATATATTTATAATTTTTAAATTGTTAGAGTTTATATATATATATATATATATATATATATATATATATATATATATATATATATATATATATATATATATATATATATATAAGATTAATTTTTGATCGAATTATATCGATACGATGTTTGCACATTTGTGTGCATGACGCGTGACATTTGTGTTAATTCGATCTAGTTGCGATGATCGCATTTTTGTGTGAGCAATAATACTGTTTTTTGCTTAATTTCTTTTTCTTTGCGATAAATTTTGTTTCGTCCGATTGCGCTGAGCGCATTTCTGCGTTAGCAACATTGTTGGGTTATTTGGCAAATTTAAAATTCATTATTGATTTATTATTATTATTATTATTATTATTATTATTATTATTATTATTATTATTATTATTATCATTATTTATTATTATTATTATTATTATTATTATTAGTATTATTATTATTATCATTATTTATTATTATTATCATTATTATTATTATTATTATTATTACTATTATTATTATCATTAATTTATTAAAACTTGTTATAATATAAAAATCTGTTTTTTAAAATAAATAACATTAACATCTTTTCCAAATTAATATGAAAACCTATTATTTTTAAGAAAAACTTTTTTTTAGATAAATTTAAAATAATAACTAAAATCTTTTTTTTTTTAAATAATAACTAGAATCGTTTTTTTTAAAATATATAATAATAACGTTAAACCTTTTTTTTATAAATAAAACCTTTTTGTTAGATAATTAAATTAAGACTATTTTTGAAATTTTTTTAATAATATTAAAACCTCTTTTTTAACTTAAATCAAAAGCTTTTTTATATATCACAAATAAACAACAAAGAATATCTATAACTTTCGCACTTCCGTTTCATAACTCGTCTGATTACTGTCTGACTCTGTCTACTAACCTTGTGTATTCAATGTGCAGCTTGTTACGTTGCTATTAGCTATTTTAATGTGTTTTTCAATTCAAGTTGTATTATAATTGTATCTGTTTCTCATTTGTAACTTCGCGAATAAATTATCGCGTTTACCTTTCCGCACTTTAATTTCTGCTGTTTGTATGGTTTAAATTTGCGCATTTGCATCGTTAATTTGTCCCATTGCATTCCTCCGAAGGATTAGGTCTAGCCGTTTGGCCGCCACGCCAATAGTCCTCAAAACTTCAAACCCTTACAAACCCTAACTTTTCACAAATGTCTCGCCGTGGACAAAGTTACAAAACTACCCCTAGCTTTAGGTCAAAGAGTCGCCGCACTCATTTTAGGGTTTCCCGCCGCGGAATCCCTAACCTAACCCTAATGCACTTAACAATTTATAACATAGAGATCGGAGTTTAAGACTCCATGTAAGCGTGTCCTTAAGATGTGTTTATTCCCCATTGAAACCTTGACCACAGTCAAGACGTTTCTAACCTCCTTTTTGAGGGGAACTACAATTACTCTGATTCCATTCCCGTAAGGATATGTAGGCACAAGATGCGATGTCTTGCCGAGTAAACTTAGAATTAACCCCTAGGTCTTTTTTTAATTTTCAATCCTTTGTATATACCCTTAAGCAAAATAATTAATGAAATAAAAAAAAATAAACAAAAGGTTCCCGTAGAGTACTACGGAAGTTTAGGGTGCTAATACCTTCCCTAAATTTAACCAACCCCCGAACCTTAGATCTCTCTCTTTTAGGTTTTTCCTTTCTTTAACCTTTCCTTCGGATAAATCAAAGACCGGTTGTAAATGAATTAAGATTCAAGTTAATCAATATCTTGACATCCAAATTTCACCGCAACAATAAGGATCTCGACCATCAGCCCAACGCCGATGATGCTGCAGTGTGGACATCTAAAACATCGACCATTAAGTTCACTACAGTGGATATGCACCAAAGTGACCGGTGAAACTACAGTTTGACATGCATCAAGATATTCCAGTCGCTTCAACGTCTTTGCGAGACTGGCATAAATTGAGGGTGGATGCACAATGGAGGCTAGATGATTGAAAATACTTTGTAAAAGAGATATGTCGACATTGGAAGAATTGGCATCGCCACATCTTAAACGAGCCTATTGTGGAAGGGGCTAGACTAAGTCATCAATATATGATTTAGTTTAGGTCGATTACAACAACACAACAATTTGTGTCTGAGCCGACATATTTGATAGATTCGTGCCAACGTGTGTCTTCCTCGTACACACATCAACAAACACCTGCCTAACATCAAACACCGCACCATACGGACAACCATATCTACCCACCCAATCAATTTTCCAGAACTGCAACCCATTCATGCCACCCACCTAATCACAACAAAAAGAGCCTTACCCTTACTGCCAACCTCCCGACACCGACACCACATCTGCATATAGCCTTGATAACTCTTTCGACTCCACCCTAACCCACCATAGCCCCCCACAAATAAACACACAATCGTCCTACCACCAAAATATCCAACCATTATTTGACTACCTAACCCCACAACAACCATTGCATCGTTTCCAAAACGATTTAATGTACCAATTCGGCCAATCATACCGTCTGCTCCCAACCCAACCCCCCCGTCCCAACTTTGAAAACATGTGCATGAAACTGAATTATGGAAGTGTCGTTGACAGCAACCCCCTCGGCTATTGGGGATAGGTGATTCGAAATTTGTCAGATACGCCGGAACCCTCTTAACAAATACCTTTTCCACAGGGCAATATGCAAAGACCACAAACACCTTAACAAAATCGTGGTAGACCTCAACGTCACACAAATGCGCCAGAATGTGAAACCGGAAAACGCTTTGATCGGGCCACTCATTGAATTTTTTTTCATCTGTTGTAAACCTTTTTATATTTAAATATTGTTATTTATTTTTTCTTTAAATTTTTTTAACTTTTTTATTAACAAAGAAATTAAAAAATAATAATAAGGAGGAGGATGCGTCATCCCATATGGCACATGCACTCAATTTTTAGAGCACAACATAAATGGTGGCGCCATTTGATTTGACTACACCTTATATATGCTCCAAATCAAATCACGCATACTCATAATTTAATGAATTTACTCCCTATCATATGGTGTATGCTCTATCATCCTAACATAAAATACGCCATTTTAGTAAATATTTTTAAAATCTTGTTATTTTAAAAATTAAATTGAAAATATAGGTTATGTTTTATAAAAAAAATCTCAATAGTAAAATATTTTATTTTTCATTCATCGTTAGTAGTGATGGTCACATCATTGTATAAAAATGTCAATCTTGCACACAAGTGCATGTTATCACTTATTGACATAAATCTTGGGTCAAGATACTCTTTATTTTCTTTCTTGTTCATGTTTTTCATTACTAATGTTTTAGAAATAAAAATAATAAAATAATGTAAAATTTGGTGGGTTCATTTTTTTATACACATTACAACTATTCAAAACTATAATAATATATATATGGAAAATGAAGAGAGAAAATAAAGACATCCCAACTTTTAATGATGAGATATATGGCTTGTACAAGAGACGTGCATAGTGAAAATAAACAAAATATGTTATATCTTAAATAATAAACGCAAACAATTAAGTTAAGTTCATTTACAGTTAAATATAGGAAGAAGTAGAAGGCATGCGAATTCAAAGATTTATCTAAGAACTGGAATAATAAAATCCACAGAATCAGTGTTGTATGTATCTCTCTAATCAACCATTAAGAGAAAGAAAGAAAACATGAAAAAATAAACTTAGTCGTAATTGAAAGGATTGAACTGGTTCGGTGGCGACTCTGGCGACTGTGGCGGACCAGCTTCAGGGGAAAGAGATTCCGTCGGATTTGCAAAGGCGTTGTTCTCAGGCCTAACGTCATTATAAGACAACGCCGTCTGCGACTGCGGGCGTAATTCCGGTGAAAATCCCCCCATCCGTCTTTGTTGTAATGTCTCCGGCGTCCGAGTTCTCGATGGGAAAATTTGCGAGAAAGCATCTGTTGGTGTTGCTGGCCATGTTATCGGCGAGAAATTCTCAGGAGTCAATGGCGGTAATTTCGCCGGCTCCGGCGTTAAGATTCCTGGAACTTGACTCATTTTTACACCATTATCCAACATCCGCATCATGTCATCGTTTTCATTACTCCAAGAAGGCTTTTCTTTCTTCTTGGGAGTGGTTCTTTTAGTCGAAGCAAGCCTTGCTGCCGGAGAAACATCACTGGCTGCGGTAGGTTGTGCATTACCGGTGCGGCGTTGTTTGACGTCTTTGAAGTTCTGGGGGGCAGTGACGTCGGAGTGAGGTGTCTGCACTGGCGAGTTCTTGGTGATCTTGTGGGATTTTTTATTGGGTTTGAGAGAGTTTCGACGTGACAATGGACGACCTCTGTTGAATGAATTCTGGGGTCTCATGGTGAAATTCAAAGTAAAGAATGGGACTGTGAGATAGAGAAGAGAATGTTGGAGTGAGTCCCAAACAAGTAACTGCTTTATTTATTCAATTACTAGTCACTAGTCACCAATGACTAAATAGGTATATAGTCGTTTCTGGATCTTTGGTAATATATATATATATATATATATATATATATATATATATATATATATATATATATATATATATATATATATATATATATATATATATATATATATATATATATATATATAACAACTTTGCATGCATGCATTTAACAACCCCATAGTTTATGTAGATAATAGAATTAATGTATATAGATTATTAGTATTTCGTTTTAACTATTAGTAAAAAAATAAAAGGTTGATAATTAGTTAAGTGAGTAAGAATAAAATTGTTTTTTTTTTGCCAATTCATCCTTTGCACATGATTTTCAAAAATTTGGAGAAAAAAAAAACATTTTCTCATGTTCCTCCCTTTCACGGTGAAACAAAGAAAATGCTGTAAAACTCAATCTTTGGTTTTTGCATATAAAGAAAATTCGATTTAAAGGGATTAACTCATTTTATGTACTCAACAAATTTCTGACTAAGATTAATAACTCTATTTAATGACAATGAATACTGTTTAGTAAATGTTGTCGTATAGACCCGCGAACCAAATTGATGGACTAATGAGCCCGCTGACCCATAGAAAAAAGGTACAAAAAATTTCTTCAGAGTCAAGTGTTTGTGGCACCATTCCACCTCCTATACTAGAGCTAGCATGTTAATTAAGTGAATCGAAAGGAGGTGAATTGTTTTATTTAAAATTTTTGAATAAATCATAAAAATTTTGGTCTTTAAAACACTAATTTTAAATTTGATAAATACATAGAGGAATGACAGCGGAATAATAATAGAAAAAAAGATGGAAAATTAGAGATATATGCAGCAAGAAATAAAATAAAAAATAAAAAATAAATAGAGAATGGATAGAGAGAATGCATTAGAGATTTATTGACTTAACCACTTGACCTATTCTTTTTTTTAAAGAATTTTTTCTTGAGAGTTCTCCTAAAATCAAACTTAAACTTTTACATGATCAACATAAACAACTTTCACTATATCTTTTACACATGCTTAACTCAAGAATCAACAAACAAAGCTTTTATAGAGACTTAGCTTAAAAATCTTCAAATAGAGCTTTTACACAAACTTAACAATATAATGTGAAGTCCTCATCTGAAGTAATGATCAAGATGTTATATCAATATCAAGATAATGTGATATCCATTTCTAACGATGTTGTCTTTCAAGAAACTCTAAAGTCTCATCAGTTAGAAGAATCAAAATACCAATGAGAATCGAAAATGCATTGAACATAGTGAGACTTTTTTCTAGAGCAACCTTTGTGAGAGACACACCACATACTCACCCAAAACCTTAAGGTGATAGGTGTATGGATTATCTCACTTATAAATGCTCAAGTCACCACATTTCTATCCAATGTAGAACTATTATGCACCTTACTCACACTTATTAATACTTAACATCTAAATGATTATAATATAATAAATATATTAAAGAAATTCTTAAATTACTAAGACAATGTGCACACTCACATAAAAATATTTTAAACTTCTCTAAATTTTTTATAATACCTTAAAATATATAGAGGAACCATCTAAGTGACTTTGTGATTAACCCAGAGTGGTCCTGGTCATTTATGAGGCTTGTATACATTGTGTAATCGAATAAGGACCTTAAGCCATAAGTTATAGCCAGGCATGAAGCTTATTAGTTTATTAAGAACACTCCTTATTGACTAAGACACGTAGTAGTTGTAGATCTTCTTTTTAGAGAATTAAGGTTATATTTTTTAAGTTCGTAATTCATTAACCTTGTGGCTTAATCAATAAATTCATTTAAAATCTTGTGTATCTTTTTCTTTTTTAAGCCAAATTCATATCCTATGAATAGAGAAATTCTAAATCAGTTTTGATTTTGTAATGTTAATTATAAAAAAGATTGTAACCTTCGATCATTGTTTTGATACCTGTAACATTCATTTTTATTATAATTTTAATTTTGTTATTTGAATTAAATACAGCAGAATGGACATAAGAATACCAATTTGGCAATACACTATTTTTATTTTAATATTCTTATGAGAAAAATCTCAATAAACACTAGTACCACTTAATATTTTTAATTATAAATTTAATGATTGAAATCAACTTTAAGCATATTGAGGCCTTAATACATCAATATTATATTTTTAATTAAATTTTGTTTAGTAGAGACGAAGATTATGTAATATAAACCATTTCTAATTTTTTTTTTTAAAATGAATTAAATTATAATAAATTAATTTTTTTTTATATTTTTGAGACAGATTTAGAGACGAAAAACTATTTTGATGGCTTAATTCCTCTCTAAAATCCTGCTCTACTATCCAAAAATGAATTTCAGTCTCAAGTTTATTTATTCCGTCTCTAACTCTGTCTTTGATATACACTAAATTGTATCCGTCTCTAAATTTTGTCCGTATTTTATGTTTTTCTAGTAGTGAAACTAGAAAATGCATTTCTATATTCTTTATCACTTTTTATCCTCTCCATTTCATTTCTTTCTTTTTCACTAAATTGCTTTAGTGTTTTGAGAGTGAAAAATATCAGTGAGTTTTTTTGCTTGTTTGGTGTTGGGGTTATTCTTGTAATTTATTCATGAAAACTTTTTCTCTTGTGTAATATCTTTTGTGAAAAGTTGTTTTTTTGTTCATGATCTAACAAGTAAAAGTTTATGTTTGGTCTTTGATATTAACAAGTCAAAATTTATATTTGGTTTGTGAGCTTAGCCCGATCTTTGGTTTGTTAGGTTGTCCATTAAAATCTTTGTTTGGTTCATGAGTTGAACTTAGTGTAAAAGTTTTGTCTGATTTTGAGATTGCCCTGGTGTAAAATATCCTAGTATGTTTGGAAGGTAGCTATTGTAAAACTTTCGTTTGATTGTAAGAAGGTTCATGGGGATAACCTATAAAAATTTCACATCTAATATAGTGGAAACTCATAAGAGGAAATTCTTAGGGACAAGAGTAGTCCAAAGTGGTTAGGCTGAACCTAAATAAATCTTGGTGTAATTTTCTCAACTCTTATCTCTTTATATTTTTGATATTTACTTATTTTCTTTTCTTTACTTATTTCATTGCTCATTCTTTTGTTTTACGCAGTTGTTTTAAAAGCTTTCATTTTTAAAGAATTTTAAATTTGACATAATTTTTCAAACCTACACAATTCACTCTCCTTATGTTTGGTGTCACTTGTCCAACATTTAGCTCAGGAACTAACAAATAGACATAGTTTTTATATAGACTAGCTCAATAACCTTCATACATGCTTTTATTAGGTTTAGGTTGCAACCTTAAGTCTTCTACAAAATAATTCACAAGAGAATTACGCTATTAATTAAAACAGATTTAGCCCAACACTAGTTACAACACAACTCCCATAAGGACTTTTTCAGTATTTCAACACTACGACAATTCTTGTGGAAAAAAAATCAAAAATAGGGAGAGTGGAAGAATGATAGAGATGTTTCTATTCTGAAATATGGAGTAAAATGAGATGAGTGGATCAAAAAGTAAATGATATATGGGGAAGTTAGTTTATTTAATTGATTAAATCATTTGTTAACGAAATACTCTCTCCATTTCTATTTATAAGAAAATTTTAACAATTTAGATTCATTAAGTAATTAATGCATCTAACTTATATATAGTCCAGTTACATCATTTATTGAATGAACCTAAGAAATTAAAATTTGATTATAAAAAAGAATGGAGGGAGTAATAAACTTCAAAAGGCGGAAAACTTAATTCATAAAAGAAAACCCTAAAATGGCTTTATGAAATAATCGATTAACGTTTCTAATAAATTAATAGGTCATTCACCTTGTATTAATTGATTGAATCAAGTTCTTAATTGATTAGGCAAAGATTAAACTTCCTTATTTGATTAGAAACACATCTTAATTAATTACATACATGCCTTGATAGGTTCTTCAGAATTTTAAAGAAATCAAAGAGGGTTTGAAAAATATTTGTATGTGTGTTATTGCCTCAGTATTTTAATACTTACTCTTGACCTTTTACAATTTAAGTTGATCACTATAAGATGCTGGATGCAGGATGTAACACCTTAAACCCCGAAACTTATATAAAAAACATTACTCGACAATTTAAGGTATCAACAACGACCACCAATCAAAACTCATTAAAACATTTGCAATTTACGCACCAGAATCAACATATTGAAATCTTTCAAGTTAATATCATCAATAAAGTAATAAAATTATCAAAACACCAAATCAACATTAATCAAAACATAACGAACTCTCGTCCCCAATGTTACACTATCAGAGCATGCGATAAAGCGATAAATAAAAAGGAAGGGTAGCTCCAACAAGCCTCATTCCACACACAACAACAATTCTCACTCCTGAGTATCTGCAAGATGTACATGGTGGACAACATGAAGCAAGAGGGATAAAAATTATCATTCAATATGAACACTGTAAAGTATGCGAAGGTAGAGAATGTACAACATAACACATATTCAATACACAATCGACATCACCGTAATCTCACACCCAATAATAACAATATACAATTATATGTATGCAATGTGACTCATGACACAACGTGACACTTATGAATTTGGTGCCAATATGGACAACACTCATCCATCTCGGTCCTAAATCCACACCATCGGACCAGAGCACATCAATTTGCTACTAACACCTTTAGTAACGCTTCATTGATTCCTATCTGGAACTAGTTACTCGCTCCTGAATCCACACCATAGGACCATAGCACATCAAAACTTAACTGAAGCTCGTACACCATGATGCATGATTTTTAACAACATGCAATATCTCTAAAATTATCATCATGCATTTACCATAATTATGCACAACATCATTTTCAGTATACAATAGTTGATTAATTCCACAATAAG